CTCCGCCGGGCGAGGGGCCGGTGCGATGGTGGGTCGAGGCCTCCCCCCTTCCCAAGGGGCCCAGCCCCCGACCTGCCCAGACGTGCGACGAGCTGTGCGTTCGTTTGTCCTTCCATGCCGCGCTCCAGGGGAAGTCCCACCCCCACCCCCGGGGGCCGGCTTGTCGCCCCGCATCCCTGTCTGGTGGCGCCGGGGCCCGATCGCGGGGCCCCAGAGGCCGACACCGAGATCAAATAGAGAGGCCGTTGTTTTGCTCCTCCTCCTCCACCTCCTCCTCCTCCCTCCTCCTCCTCCCCTCCTCCTCCTACTCCTCCTCCTCCTCCTCCTCCTCCGCCTCCTCCTCCTCCTGATCCTCCTCCTCCTCCTCCTCCTCCTCCTGACCCCACGCAAGCCAGGACTCACTTGCACGTCTACTTGGCCCAGCGCTGTTTGGTTGGAAAGGCGGCGGGGGGGGGGGTGCGGCCAAGTGTCAATGCAAGTAGCCTGCCTGAGTCGAACGAGTAAAGTAACAGGCCGCAAGCTCCCGACCAGAACACAACAACAACATCTTCGGAGGTTGGGATATGCCTCGGCTACACGTACGGGTGACTCTAAGCAAGAATGACCTTTTTGGTGCGCTTGCTTTGGGGGGGCGCAAGCTCAAGCAAGTACGCCGCTCCAGGACAGGGGGGCACCCCTGTGGGCCCGCACCAAAGTTCCCTCCGGCAAATGGGCACTCTCACGCAAAGCCGAGTGCATGCGGCACGCACAAGGGGGGTAGGGGGAGGGGAAATGCTTCTTAGTTGGAGGCTGCTTCTTAGCAGGCGCTGGCCCTACATCTGCAGAGAAGGCCCGCGCCTTCTCAGAAGCAGGGGTGCTTCTAAGAAGCCCTCCCCCCTCCCCTCGCCCCCCTGCGCATGGCTGAGAGCGCATGTGCTAGAGGCCTCTTAGATGGGCTCCGAGTAGATCGGGTCGGAGGATCGAGCCGCATCGACAATGAATCGGCGATGCATCGGCGATGTATCGGCGATGCATCGGAGACGTCGGCGATGCATCTGCGCCATCGGCGTGGAGAGAATCAGGCTCCGAGCCGCATTGACGACGCATCGGCGATGCGGCGAGATCCTCCGACCCCATCTACTCCAACACCAGCTGGGAGGCTAAGATTTGCCTGGGTCAATTCACACCCGGGTCAATGCAAACCTGGGTCAATGCAAGCCTGGGTCAGCCAAGCTTTGCAGAATTCCGCGAGATCCTGCAGGATCCTGCGCCTTAGCCCTGCTCATTGCGCCCTTGGCCCTGCAGGATCCTGCAAGATTCAGCCTTCTGGCTGACCCCCGATTGCACTGACCCCCGTCTCACCCAGACATCCGCCGATATGATTTTGTCAATCCGCGGCCCCAGAGGTCCCCACCCCTTTCCCAGGGGTGCTCTTTTCTCCGTCCTGGATCCATGTTTGATGACCCCCGGGCCCGATTACGGGCCCTGGAGGCCGAAATTCAGGAAACATCGCCGAAGGAAAACCCAGAAATAGCCAAAAACAATGTGCAGACATAGCCAACAAAAATAATCAAAAAATCGTACCCTGACCATTTTTACCTAACAGCGAAGACTGATAGGTTTCTAGTAGGGTCAAAAGAGAGCATCTTGACACCCCAGGGGGGTCTGGGCGAGATCCGGACGGGTTGCCCCGGGAAACCGGGGACTCCCTCGTTAGCCAACAGTAACGCACTTCGTGGTCTTCGAGCTCCCAGAACTCATTCCTGGGCATGATTTTGAATGCCCGGAGCCAACTGTAGGCCACTTCGTGGTCTTCGAGTTCCCAAAACTCCATTCCTGGGCATGATTTTGAATGCCCGGAGCCAACTGTAGGCCACTTCGTGGTCTTCGAGTTCCCAGAACTCCATTCCTGGGCATGATTTTGAATGCCCGGAGCCAACTGTAGGCCACTTCGTGGTCTTCGAGTTCCCAGAACTCCATTCCTGGGCATGATTTTGAATGCCCGGAGCCAACTGTAGGCCACTTCGTGTTCTTCGAGTTCCCAGAACTCCATTCCCGGGCCACATTTTGAATGCTGAGGCAGGCTGATGCTGAGGCTGAGGCAGGCTGAGGCTGAGGCAGGCTGAGGCAGACTGAGGCAGAGACTGAAGCAGGGCTGAGGCTGAGGCTGAGGCAGGCTGAGGCTGAGGCTGAGGCAGGCTGATGCTGAGGCAGGCTGAGGCTGAGGCTGAGGCTGATGCAGGCTGAGGCTGAGGCAGGCTGAGGATGAGGCCGAGGCTGAAGGCAGACTGAGGCTGAGGCTGAAGCAGGCTGAGGCTGAGGCTGAGGCAGGCTGAGGCTGAGGCTGAGGCAGGCTGAGGCGGAGGCAGGCTGAGGCTGAGGCTGAGGCTGAGGCAGGCTGAGGCTGAGGCCGAGGCTGCAGGCAGACTGAGGCTGAGGCTGAAGCAGGCTGAGGCTGAGGCGGGCTGAGGCTGAGGCTGAGTCAGGCTGAGGCTGAGGCTGTGACTGCGACTGCCGTTGCCACTGCGACTGTCATCGCGAATGCGACTACGACTGCGAGAACAGAAGAATTCTACAACTGGATTCTCATCTGAATCCCAAGGGGAATGCTTCCAGATATGTTCCTACAGATCGCTGTTAGGTTGCTTTGCCGGGATATTTTTATAGTTTCCCACATATCCTAAGCTGGGGTTCTTGTTCCCCATATCCTACATATGGGTTTCTTGTTATTCCCCATATCCAAAGAGATGGGGTTCTTGTTATTGGCGGACCGCGCCGGAGGAACAGAGAGAGAACAGAACACCACTCACCTCCTCTCACTCAGACCCACTCAGACTCAGTCACCACTCAGACTCCCTCATCAATCAGACTCAGTCAGTCACTCAGACTCACTCATCACTCAGACCCACTCATCACTCAGACTCACTCACCACTCAGACCCACTCATCACTCGGACTCAGTCATGACTCAGACTCATCACTCATCACTCAGACTCACTCATCACTCAGACTCACTCATCACTCAGACTCACTCATCACTCAGACTCACTCGTATTTGTACCCATACATTCACTACACTCACTCAGGTCCACTCATCGGATGACACACACACACACTGATGTTGAGGATGTGTCAGGCGATTCTGTGGCTTCAGCACTCCTAAGGGGAGCGGCGGGGGGGTATTTCCCTCGGCCCCTTTCGCGGATTTGTGTGAGGATGTCTCAAGCGGTTTGGCCATTTTCTCTTCCAACATGTTTCGTTTTCGGAGCAGTTTGCGAGGATGTCTCAGGCGATTCGCTGGTTTCAGCACTCCTAAAGGGAGCGGCGGGGGGGTATTTCACTCGGCCCCTGTTGCGGGATTTTGTGGGGATGTCTCAGGCGGTTTGGCAATTTTCTCTTCCAACATCTTTCGCTTTCGGAGCAGATTTGGAGGATGTCTCGGG